AGCACTCGCCCCGAGAGGCCTCTCGGTCACTTTGGCTGAACAAAGCCTCTGTCCTCCTGTCAAGCATTTACGTGCAGCACAGCCCCAAACTGCCCTGATTGAGGCTGTTTAAACTGGGTACACCTTGTAAATCTTCTCACTGCAGAGGCAGTGTCTTGGAGCCACTATCAAACCACACGAGTGGAGACAAATTAGATCAGATCACAGCTAAAGCCATCCCAGCATCCTGTCTGTCCCCGTGGTCATTCGTGGATGTAAATGGAAAGCTGCTGAGGAACAAGGATCAAGTAATCTTGTACCAACCCAGTCCTCCCCAGGAATTGGGGGTGTTACAAATTAGATGACTGATGTTCTCATAACAGGCTTCCACTGGAATGAAACCCACCTTTCCCTTTGCTTTGAAACTGCAGCCCTACAGTCAACAAGTTTGCAGAAAAATGCATCTGTGGTGGGTTAAGATGGGAAAAGTTCTCGACAGAATTCCCCACGTGTTGACAGAAATTATGTGGAGATGACAGAAGACTTCAGCTGAAGGGAGGGGTTAAAATAAAGTTGAGGGCTTGACAAAGTCTTCATCCTTAGAATTAATAACTTGACTTAAAAGCACCCATTTGCTTCTTGACTTAACCCTGTGTCTTGCTGCTTCCTTGAGGCACTGACACAAGGCTGTTGGATATTTGAGGATAGAGAGATGCTTTCAAGCTCAGGTTTAGCTCTGTTTTAATTTTTTAAAATATTAAGGCTAGGCACAAGAAAGACTAACTGCAGTACACTGTTCAGGCCACTCAGATGTTAGGTGTGGGCTCAGTTTACTGCAGACAGAAAGGGGTAATGAAATGGGCCCTTCTAAATCCTCTGCTGGCTGCTTTCAGTATGAGGCTGACAGGTAAAGCAGCACTGGCAAGTACTTTTGTCAACATAACCTTTGAGTTTGTTTGTTTGTTTGTTTTTCTTAAAAATGCCCACTCTTCTTCCTCCAAGAAATAGCTAGATCTGTTTTGCTTTGAGTTGGAGTGTTTCTTTTTTAAAATATTACATAGAACTTTTTGCTTCGTTGTAGTAGCAAAATTAATAATTTAGAATTTAGTCAGTGCCATATGAACCTGATTTTTTAATGTCTTGATTTGGGTCTCAGATGCTACCCCCAATTAAATTAATTATTGAGCCTTAATTGTGGGAGATCTTGTACTTTCTAAGAAGCTGAAGGGCAAGGATGTCTCTCTGTTGGTGACTGTTTCTAGCCAAGAGTGGTGAGGGGATAATGTGTTCGTGTTTCTCTGTTCCAATTCAATGGGCTGATCCAGGTGGTCACAGTCCTGCAGGGCTTTCCCAACCCACGACACATTTTTGGGAGTAGGTAACAAAATGTCCAGCTAAGATCCTTCTCTTATCAAAGATCAGATCCAGTGAAGCTGGAAGAGAACATGTGGAGAAATCTTTTCTGTACATGGTAGATACAGAAAAATGAACTGTTATGGTGACCCTTTCTAAAACAAACCAAAATTCAGGTGGATCAAGTCATGCTGTGGGGAAATAATGGCTTCATAGTCAGGTATTCAGATGAAAAGACATAACTGTACTTCACTATCGGTTTCTAGAACCTACCTGCCAATTAATCACCCAGTGTGGGAGGCCCTCACTTGGGAAATGGGGTAGCTGGATCTTTCCGAAGTTCTGGAATTCCCTGGCCCCTGTGTGCACTCAGGGATGTCTCTGTTTGCTATATCCATGTGGATCTGCATCCTTGGAAGGGAGAGGGAGCACGTGCCCTTGCTGTCCCGTGTGCCCTGGGAGGTGAGAGCAGGTACAGCTCTCCAAGGTCAGGACGCAGCCCCCACCCCATCTCGCCCAGCACGGCTCCTCCCCGCCCTGACAGCCTGGCAGTTCATCACCCAGATGAAAGCTCTGATCTGCCCTGGCTGTCAGCAGAGCTGTCACAGGTGAAACTGTGCAGATTTCCAAAGGCAGGTGAATTCCAGAGTCAAGCGTGGCCGGGGGGCAGAGGCACGGCGCAGGCAGGGACTGTGCAGTTATTTAAGGCTTTGGGATGTCTCGGGCATGGTGCTGGGTGCTTTTGGTTGGTTCTTGCCCATGACTGCACTGGAAGAGGCCTAAGGGACAGTTCTTGGAATTCTTCAGATTGTCAGGGACCTGCTGCTCAGTTAATGGGCTACATAGGGATTTCTCAGCTCTAGGAGGGAAAGATTTAAGCCCTGTATTGGGCCACCTTTTAGACTATTAGATTTCCAATATTCATATTGAGAAGGGCTTCTGAGACTCAAATCTCTACTTTCTTATGCACAAAGCTTTACTTACTTTTCCATAAAATCTTGTATTTTGAAGTAGTTAGGAATCTTAAGAGCACAGAAAGTAGAGAGTCCTGTATGTCCTGTAGAGAGCCCTGATACAGGGCTCTGAATGTGATGGTAATTCTACATTGTGGTTCAGAGCTTTCCTAATCTGCCAGAATGCAGAGTGAGGCTTAACTGTTGGTGTTGGTTTGTGAATAACAATAATGAACACCAGCCAGTCATGTTCTGGTTTTATAGCAGACACTTGGAAACAGTCATTTGAAGGACCCCTCAAAAAACAAGCAGCAGACACCTTGGGCAAAGCTGAACCATGACTGATAGTGGAGGAAAGAGAAAGGTTATGGGTTTATCAAGCAGGAAAAGCAAGAAATGTAGTAGGCAGAACTGATCAATCTATACACCTCTCATGTGTTCCCTAGCTAATCCCACTGGCGTTTCAATAATAATTTGATAGTGCTCTAATTTCTCTGGAACTGCTCATGCGTTTAACAAACACACAGCAAATACTGGAGAGCTTCATTAAATACCATTATTATTCATTAAATAAAATTCCTCCCCTTCCCAGTGGTAATCAAGTGGCTCAGTGGCATGCTGGGAGGGGAGGAAGGTAAAAAACAGGATTTATTAAATACAAAATTGAGTGGCAGGGTGCAAGTTAAGTTCAGATCATTCTGAGCAGCTAATTTTGTGAGAGCCTGAGGATGGAAAGGGGTCAATACTCTTTGCAGACAAAGCCAAGGGTCAAAATGTGCTACTTGCACACTATTTCCATTTTCCCTGTCATATGTACACTGCACCTACTTGTGTCACTGTGGTTTGTCCCACCCTCAGTCCCCTCTTCCTGGTCTCTCCAAACTCAGTGCTACAACACACTTCCCTTGGGAGGAAAAGAGTGGTGGCAGTGACCAAAATAGGTAATTTGGAAGTCTGTGCCAGGCAGCAGCACAGGAACAGTCTCATAAGGAACAGAGCCAGTTTTAACTCTATGAAATAACTTTGTTCTAACAGATCTATGGCCCAGAGCATTTCCCAGGTACCTATTTCCTAGGGTTTGGTCAGGTGATGAAGCCACAGACCTTCTTCCCTTGCAATTCTGTGCTCTGACACTTTTCCCAGTCACCACCTCCCTGAGAGCAAAGCAGGATATTCTCAAAAATATTCAGAGCATTTGTTTGGATATGATCTCCACCTAACTAATGCCATCAAAGCATCCCAAAGAAAAAAAAGCACAACAGAAGCAGCTCAGGTTTGTACCATGTGCTGCTATGAATAATGAGGAAAAGAGGATGTAAAATGTGCAACCGCTTTTTATTTCTAATTTATTTATCTATTCTGTGTCTGGAACGAACTGCCCAACTGAAACATCCCTAAATGCCAGCAGAAATGTTTGGAGATTAGGAACACTTCAGAGGTGGGATTTCCCCAGTGTCCCCTCCATGGGCATATGGTGACTCCTTGTCATGAAAATAAACACACCATTCTACTAAACACTGTTAATGTAGAGAAGAGTTGGCACAGATAAAGAACTCGTGGTTTGTGTAAGCCAAGGTTCTGTCTCTCACAGGGACCAGTACAACTGCTACAGATGGAGGTGAAATAAAATAAAAATCAGTAGGACAACTTGCCTTGAGGGGAATTCTTCCTAATTGTGGAAAGCTGGAGAATGGCTGAGAGATGAGTTCAGACAGTATGAAAGGAAACAGATATCAGAAAAGGGACACATGCAGGCAGAGTTTTGCCACTTGCACAACTAAGGTGTTTGTTTTTACCATGCAGACTAAGTTTCTTTGGAGTTTATGTGATGGGTTTTTACACACTTGGGAGCAAACATCGTGCTTGGCTGAGGCAGGACACGGCAGAGGGCTGCCCTCACCGACACCCAGGGAAGCTCTAACTGGCTGTGCAGGGTGAGCACTCCCAGCACTCCCAGTTTTCCCAGCACAGCCCCTCAGGAGGGTCACAGTGAAGCTATGGTGCATCTGGAAGGGGTGTCTGGTTTCTGAGCCGAGAGGCAGAAGCGGGACCCCAAGGGGAGGCTCTGTCCCTGACCCCCTTTGCCCTCCCTTGTTCTGATCTTTATTGGGCCGTCTGCCTCGTAGCATCAAAGGCAAAAGCAGGCCCGTGATTTGTCCTACAACAGCTCTATAAAAAACATAATTGCCCAATAACCCTCTGTCTGCAAACCAAGCCATCTTCCTGTTTCTTCTCTCATAAAGACTATTTGACAAGCCTGTTCCATCAGCTTATAAAAACCTAGAAATAGTTGCCTTCCCTAGAAAGAAACTTCACAGGAAAACAGAAAGAAACTCGTTTTCCTTACATGTATATGTAGTGTGTGTATACACACCAATATATATACACACTAAGATTTCCACATGTAAAATACCTAAACCACATAAGACAGTGGAGTTACCTACTGGCATGACAAGCAGAGGAATTATTCCTTCTTAAAATAAGGATGCAACCCTACACACTGAATTCCCAGGGTCAGAAATGTTCTGTACAAAAGTGAACAAAAGGGTGTGCTGCTCAGCTAAAAAGGGAATGACCTAAAAGAGATGCAGTAAGAATCATCCTGGATATCCTGGCATTGTTTTGAAGTTGCATATGATCAGACACAATGCAAGATTATTTTTTTTTTCTCTTAGAGCTTCTTTTCCCACATCGTAATGTTGTTGCAAGACTCACCAATAAATATGATTCTTCAGCCTTCCTTTTGATAAGTGTGCAGATGTAAATTGTCCAGTCACCTTCTGCTTAGTGTAGGGAGTAGCTCATTCAAGTGACATTCTGTCCTCGAGCATCCTTGAGAAAATACAGAGAAACTCCAAATTAAAATTGCTGTACCTAAGCTTTAAATCTAGATCACTTTGTGCTTCAGCCACTAAAAAGTAGCTTGAAGTAATCCTTTGAATAATCTTGCTTCTGATGAAAAATTTTTAAAAAGATCAGTTATCCAACAACTTGTCTGTCACAGGTTTCATTTGAAATATTTAAGGTAGATATACAGTTAAGATTTGATTTGTGGTGCTGAGATTTACACTCCTGGCAAATGTAAGAATACTGCATTTTAATTTACTTTCAATACAAAATAGTTGCTTTGATATGGCTGAGAACAAACGCCTTGGGATCTGTTCCTCCCCAGTGACGTCAAATAAAAATTCCTCTATTAATATTAGTGGATGGATGAAGGATCAGGTCTTCAAAAACAAACAAAGAAATAATTTATGGCTGCTGCTATGGGCCAAATGTTGAAGGGTTTGCTTTATTACACATGCAAGCCTGCTGAAGTCAAGGAGGACCTCAATAAGGAAGGTGGTGTCAAAGCTGAAGGAAGGTGTTGATTTCAGATTCCACTGAATGCTCTGATTCTGTGATTTTAGTGTTCTTTGTCTGAAACAAGGGTAAAACCAGATATAGTTGAGGCCATTCTAAGCAGATGTATCCATAGCTATAATGTTGAATAATGGCAGCAGCTGTAATTGGAAAGTTTCAAATAATACAATAATTTCATTCACAGTACATAGGATGTCTCTTTGTGTATTTTCATAGCTTTTTTTCAGTCTTATATAGCAATGAAATATTAATTTTCCATTCAGTTATCTGTGCTCTGGTTTGTATTCACGTAGCTAATTGTCTCTGTGGGACTGAACCTTGGTTACAATTATTTTATACAGCTGCCATTTGCTGCTGGCCAACAGTCTGGTTCCAGCATTCACTCTCCTGGTTCCTTGTCATGCCCTTGGCTCATCTCTGTTCAGGGCCCTCCTGTGATTAGCCAATCTTGTTGTCAAAAAAAGAACCATTTTCCAAACCTTTTCTGTGCTCTTTCTGTTCATCACAAGGTCATCAGTGGGACTCAGCTCTGCACTTCCCCAGTGGATTCCACTGCAACTTTTCAATAGTTCCACTTCTGAAGTATCTTCTACCCCCCCTTCCCTTCCCTTTGTATGTAGCAGAGAAGCAACACCTCCTCATCTTTTCACAATTGGGAAGAATGAATCTCCCAAGCAGATACATTTGGAGTGACCTGCCTGCTGTGGGCACGAGGGCCTGTGGCCCAAGGCAACCCAGTTGCAATGTGAGACAGGAGTCCAACTCGTCTCAAACACTGTAAAGCCAGCCTTAAAAGAACTAAAGCCAGCATCTGCATCTCTTTCCTAGTGTTCCAAATCTTTTTAGTGCTTCCCTCTCCCTTCCCTCTTAGTTCATCTGAGGAGAACACGGATATTCTGCAAACCCTTTCAGCAGTAGTGCACACACACGGAGTGAATGCTGAGCCCAGCAATGCTGGGATGTGATTGCTGGTCAGTAGAGACTTCAGGCAGAGTCTCACATGCAGCAGAGCAGCAGAGCAGTGGACAGGTAGTCACATACCCCAGTCACCTCAGCCTTACTCTGTGTACTGCCCGACCCAGGAATTCCTCCTTCCTTGTTCTACCAGTAGCCTTGTCCTGTGTTCAGCAGGCTCCTCCTCCTCCCACCCAGTTTGTTTTGGGGACTCCCCAGTGGTTTATCCTCCTCTTTGCCGAGGCAGTCTCTGGGCAGCAGAGCAAACCCTTCCCTGGCCCCGCTCCAGCCCCACGTGCCCTGTGCAGATCCCGTGCCAGTCCCAGAGCCAACTGCTACCACAGGTGCCTCCACCTGGGGGAAGCAGAGAACCACAGAGCTCTGGAGTTTTGGAAGGTTCCTGAGCTCTCCCCTGCTTCAGGTAGGAAGCTGGGTCCCAAATAGGCCAGACTCCAGGTGAATAATTGTGCCAGGGCCAACACCAGCACTGAACAACCAGAACTTGGCCCAAAACCCTGTATGGGCAGGAGTTCTCTGAAAGAGGCACTGGGTTGGTTGGTGTTGTCCTGAGAACAACTGGACTGGCATCACCCCTGGGAAGACTGATACACTTGGAGGTTTATGTGCCCTCCTTCCATGTAAACACCAATTTGGGAATCTGTTTAAACCTCACACCTCCAATCTATCAACTTGAGGGTTTCTCCAGGGGAGAACTGGCCCCAAAGGTGGGGTTTCACCTGTGGCTTTGGGATTGATGCAACCCAGTGAGGTTGTAAGAAGCAAATGACAGGATGTTGGATAGGTTGATTGCTCTTCAGGTTGGAATGTTGAGCTTGTCTGGGCCACCGGGCTGTAATGCTGTATTCTCTTACTGAGGTTGTGTTACACACCTTGAATGATTACTGCAGCAGTAATTCCTAACTCTGTGGTATTGGAGAAGAAGAGGCTGTGCACCATTTGTGAGGATATTTACTATTGGTATGCAGTATTTATGCAGTAAACTCTATTGACCTGTATGAGGGAAGCAGAAAGGTGCTGGACACAGCACTTAGCATTGTAGACTGAATTTTGAGCAGAAAATAGAAATGAATGCCTACTTTTAAAAAAAGGAATCAATGTGTCAGTGGTTAAAAGGTCCATACTGAGCAGCAGGATTTTATTTACAGTCTCCTCCAAAGATGCTGGGGTAGTAAAAAAATGATAACTTGTCTTGAAACATTAATAAACCTGAGTTGGCCCATGTGATACTGAGATCTGTGGCCCAACACCTTCAAGCCCAGTGCTTTAACTTCAAGACTCCCTGCACAGCAACTGTTGCACAGAGTTGTTTAAAATGAAGGTCTCAATCCTGCTTAGCAAATCTGTATGGTATAAAGTTGAGCTAAACCAGAGCCTTGTTAAACAAAATAGGGCTCAGTGCTGGCTTGGCAGTTTGCTCCTGCTGTACAGAACTGAGGCTCAAAGTAGAAGCAGATTAAAAAAAAAAAGTGGAAGAACAAACCTTTCCTCTTGCTCCATCACTCGGGCTCTTACATATGTCGAAAAATAAACAGCCACCAACTTTTACAGCAGCAGGATTTGGAGTGTGCTATTGGGAAACCCACTAAATCTTTAAAGGAGGTACCTTTGGAAATATTTTATAGACACTCATCTCCCCAGCAGGAAAGCTAGTGCTGCAAAGAGACATCTTTAACAAATAAATAATAGTTTATTAAGTCACTTGTCTCCACAGCAGGAAATAAACTGGGGGGTGGGGAAGGAGGGTGGTGGGGTGACAAAGGAAGGGAAACAAAAAACGTTACCCTTGCAACCCCTCTGCTCCACCAGAGCTGTATTTATTTAAAACACTCTTCTCCTAAGACAGATGGAAAAAATAATTAACCCAGCCACCCACCCCTTTTATTAAACTCCTTTGTGACCACCAGGGATACGATTAACATGGCCACCATAAAAACCCAGTCCCCTACCCTCAAAATAAAGAGAAAAACACAAGCAAGATTGAGACACGGTGCAGGGCAGGAAGTAAATTAAGAACCTGCCTCTAGGGCAGTGAGAATATTTTTCTGAGTACCTGCTGGAAAATTTGCAAGACAATCATAGTGAGGGGTTTTTTTTCACTTTGGTCTTGAGGGCTCACAGAAGAGAATCTTCCCCTTAGGCAACCAACTTGTGTGGAACTGCCACTGCTTCCCAGAGGACAGAATGGGAATATCCAAGTTGTCCCAAACTTGCCCAGTTTTGAAGCTTGCCCAAATCCTCTGTCCCATGTGCAATCACAATTCTTGTGGTGATGGGTATCTCATAAACTCCTTTTTTAATCACTGGACCTTCCTGTAGTCCTCCTCTTGCTGCTGCAAGGTATTCCATGCCTGCAGAAGGCCAGGCCAGGTTTGCCCAGGAAAAGCTGTCTTCATTTATACAGTGTAAGTCTGGATTTCTCCAGTTGATTGCACAGCACAAATCTAGTACATGGATGCCAAGCAGCAGATTTTCTTTTCCCCTCTACTAATACCTTTCACAGTCACCTACCCCTTAGTTTCCAGTTCAAACCAGCCTCCTGCCCACAAGATCAAAATATTCAGGTCAAAGAACCTTCATCCCTTTGCGATGACTCTCTGTGATTTCTTAAACTCCACTACCCTGCCTGTCATCAGAATCATGGGAAAACCAGATCTTAAACCTGTCTGTGGCTATTCACATGTACTCTCATTGGCACAATGGCAAAACTAGGTGAAAACAAAAGCTAATTAACAGAAGGTTGGGGCAGGCTTTGTGTATGTGACTCTGTGCAGTTACAGGAGTCCATTCTGGAGGCATCACTGTACTTAGATACTGGCTTTGCTGTATTATTTCCATGTTATCTTCAGCAGTGAAGTTACCCTTTCTAAATGTGTGTATGCTGACATTCACTCCTGACTGCAGCACTTCATTTGTTAGGATTACCCCAGGCTAAAGGAGACCAGCCAGAATCACTGTGCAGAAAAGGCTTTTCATCACAGCAGCCTGGCTGAAAAATGGGATGCACAGTGTCTACCAGTGCATGATGGTGATGGGAAGCCATGCCAAATGTGGCAGCCTGGAACAAGAGGCTGCCAGGGTAGAATGATAGTCATCTCCAAGGTGTAAGATCTGTCAGCTTCCCAAAGCAAAGATTTCCATTCTGTGATTGCCAAGGAAGCTCCTTGCACACTGCCATCGTTACATAGGGAAGCACTGCAAACATTCTGAATATTTTGGGAGAACACGTTTCCCTTGATGCATTTGATTTCAAGCTGACCTGGGAAGCATTTTGCTCACCTCCTATTAACCAGAGCCCTGAGTGTTGTATTCTTTATCCCTCAGGAAAAACTGGATGCTTAAGGGCTTAGTCAGAACTTGTTCCTGTGGAATAAGCTCGTGATTAAGATCCCCTGTGCTGTGGTAGGTGGTGACCACGGGAGAAGTGATACCAGCTCAAGGACAGGAGGACCAAACCACTTGTATGGATAAAAGGTCTCCACTGAGTTGTCACAGTG